AACTGTGAATCTCAGATCTTGGACTTGAATTTCTACACCGACTTGTAAAGAAAAACTTCACCAACTATCGGCAATCGTGAGCTTACTTGCAAAAGATGATGAACCCCTTGCTATGAACAGTAAACTCGATAAAAAGATTGTGTCACTGATTTCTTACGATCCAAAGTCACTCCTTTCCATGTGGGATGCGTATTTAAAAACTGCGATGTGTATAGTATTTACACGCAAACTCAGTTGAAGTCAGAAAAAAATAGCCCTTAGACTCTTCCACTCCACTCCACTCCACTCCACTCCACTCCACCGCATCGCACCACACCACAATACACTACACTGCACTGCAAGATTCTTTAATATCCTCTTCTTATTTTTTAACAGCTCGCTCGCTAACAATAACATTCAAACACTGAGCTACGAAGCTTTTTGTGGACTCAATAACCTTACAGTACTGTAAGTAAAGCATTCAATAGCTATTTCCCTGCCCTGCCCTGCCCTGCCCTGCCCAGCCCTGCCCTGCCCTACCTTATATTTTACACTGTTATTCTTTTATTCAGAAACATCAGTATGAATCCAATCCATACCTCCACCGGAAACATAACAGGCTTATTCCCCTCGCTCTCCTTACTGGACGCTACAGGAATCGTGGACTGGAAACCAGAAAAACATCTGTTTCAACTGCGCATGCTCCAACAAATTCTTCACCTAACGTGGTCACGTGACTGTCAGAACTGCATCTTTTACAGAGCAAATGACACATATTCTACAGAATACTCGTTCATAAATCTTGATACCTGCTACGTTTTTTACTACAACGCCACAAATTTATCTCCCATAGTGCGATTTTTGAGCAACACTTCTTTTAAAGTTCGCGAGTGTCTAAACACCGATAAATGTCAATTATCCAGGTATCGATGGACACGAGTTAAAACGGAAAACCATTGCTGGGAGGAAACTGTTCTGGGAATGAACTTGCAGTCGTGCCTAGGCTATCTTGGAGCTTTAGTCAATCTCGTAGTCATATCAAATATTCTTGCATCGAAAATCCTTCGAAAGAACATTTCGATGCTGTTTGTGTGTAATATGGCAGTCAGTGATTTTATCTTAAGTATTTTTACTATTATTATTACGGTATTTTTGAATAGTGTTTCGTTCGCTTTTGTAGATGGTAATGCTGAGTTCTTTTGCTGGAAGGTGGGATTCCTGTGGATGCTAGGACAGGGAGGGGCTGTTATCACATCGTTTTCTCTAACACTAGAGAGATATCTTGTCATCGTCTACAGTCTTAACCCAGACATTAGAATCACTCGAAAAATGGCAGCCATTTTGATCGTAGTTTGTTGGATAGTCGCTCTATTAATAACTGCATACGCTTTGTATTTCAATTTCTACAAATATACATTCGTGTGTATCCCTCTCCGCTTTCAGTTCGACCCTCGGCATTTTCATGTTTCTATGTTCGCTTTCGTAGTGGGCGCCATTGCAATCATCTTATACCTCATCTCGTTTGCTTTCTATATTCACATTTTTATCACCGTTAGAAAAGCAGCTCAAAATGCAGGCGTTAAAAGAGAATCAAAACTTGCTAAACGCATAGCTCTGCTTGTGTTTAGTAACGTATTTTTTTTCGTACTTCCAGCCTTGATCTTAGCGGCTGCAATGGTATTTGGATTGCATTTAAAAATGGTACAAAACACAGATAAAGTTGTGTTTGAACTGATTGCAAAGGTTCTCCCAGTGTTTAGTTTGAGCTTAAACTCGTTTCTCAACCCATTCCTTCACGCGTTCAGAAACGATCGTTTTACCCAGGCTCTCAAAGAGCGATTTCGATTCGTTCGACAAGAAGTTAGGTCTATTTTACCCGAACGTTTCTCGACAAGTACCCGAGTGCGGCCCGAAACTCGAACGACGAAAACATAGAAAAACAGCAGCTCTTCGAACGTAAAAATTAACAGAGCATCACGACCTGTCTGTCAGACGAGATACACGTCCCTTTAGTAAAAAAAATAGTTTAAATTAGTATAGGGTAAGTTTATTATATCTTGTTATATCTTGTTGTTTCAGATCGTAATTGTAATTGGGACTACGGTTCGGCGTGTAATGTTGTCCTAGTTGACCTTCAACAGGCCCTTTGCAGTTAACGGTCACGTGTCTGTACTGGAAAACAATTTTAAGAAAATTGCATGGTGATTCTTTTTAGCTACTTGTAAAGAACTGAATGAAACGATGTGTAACCAGTGTGTTACGAAATGCAGTTTTATTACGATCTCTCGAAACAGCTTGTAGAAAGTGTGTTTGCTCACCAGTATATTTCACCCATGGGAATCAAAATGTTCATTCATTTGCCCTCAGTGAATTAATCAGCACGTGATTACTGAGCTTCAAAGGGCCTATTGTTTAAATTTATGTCCTTGACTTGTTTTATGTAATTATTCTCCTTGCAAATCTATATACAAGTAAAATAATAATACCTATAAATAAACTAAATCATTACTGCGGTTTTCGACATACTCAGGCTCATCGATTATGGTGAATATTTACAGCGAAAATCGTCGTATCGCGGCCCACCGTTTCAAAAACTTGATTGGATTTTTGTCATTTCTGAGCAGTCAATCATGTTGGGTTTATGCAAATGAGTCGACGACCACGATCGCTCAGCGTCGCCCATCAACGCATTTTTTTTTCGAAAATCTAAAATGACTCAAGAATATCCCTAGTTTTGAAATTGCGGGTCGCGATACAACGATTTTCGCCATAACTCGCCGCCCGAAGACTCGCGTCTCAGTAATTCAATATACCACCAATAATAACTTCGCCTTCGGCAAATAATTGTCAAATAAGGGGTTCTTTTAATAGCCATTTTACTGTGTATAATTTGTGGGCAATAATCAAAAGAATAAAATGCAAAAAATAAAGTAAAAGTGTTGTAAGAATAGTTTTGTAAAAATACCCAGATTGCTTTTCGCGCCAAAAATTCAACTCAGCGGTAGCGCCCCATCAGAGCACGCGCAGATCTTCCCGGTCTTTTTTCAGAAAACGACACGAGATGATGAATAAATGAACTAAAAAACCCCAAAAACACTTTAAAAAACACGCAAAAATCCTTCCGATCATGGATATACAACAGCTTGCTACCATCTTCTCGTCTACCTTTGATCCTAATCATCAACAAGAAGCAGAGAAGAGGCTTGACGAGGTAAAAATTCGAGTCGAAATTCAAATTTCCTTAAGATCATGCAGAGCAAGCTCGCGGGAAATTTTTATTAGTTAATTTATTAACGAGTTATTTTTTATTAGTTTCTTTAGTTATTATGGTTTTATTAGATTTAAATGATATTCTTAAGTAAGCTATTCATTTCCTAAAATTGTTTAGTCTTTTAACAGAACACAAGAATATAAGTCAGTGTTGACTAACATCACGTGTAGGATTACTCAACGAGAAAAAGATCAAAAACCGACATTTTAAAACCTCGAAAACAGGCTACACTCAAAAGACCAATAAATAAAGGATTTAAACTTTATAGGGTAGTAATAAATAGTATAAAATCCTTCGTTTTCTCTTGTGCAGTAGCACTGTTTTGCACAAAATAATTCGTACTTTTTAATACGTTTTTCGTGTTCATTGTACTTTTTGCTCAAAAGGACAGTCTATAGGTAATTTTTAAAAAAATTTATTGATTATACTCCTTAAAACAAGTTAGTGAGGTCACTGGGGGTCAAACTATGGACCTCTTGCTTAACAGGCAGCACACTAACCAACCAAGCCACACTTGCTTCTTAAAACAAGTGTGTGAGGTCATTGAGAATCAAACTATGGACCACTTGCTTAGCAGGTAGCACACTAACCAACCAAGCCACATTCCTTGATAAGCTACATTATTTCATTAATCCTAACAATTTTTATTGATCACAATAATATCTGTGCTATATTGCAGCTTAAATATCACCAAGGTTTTGTTACGATGTTGGTTCATCTCATAATGTCCAATGAAATTGTACCTCCAGTACGTCAAGCTGGTAAGTGAACATATATTGACATTATAGTCAATTAGTTTTAACTGAGGAGAAAGTGCTGCCTTTGTAATTACAACTGCAAATGGTTAGACTTTCAAGTGGATCAGATGACCACTTTAAATGGTGGTCCCGTCTCTCCACACTCATCACTACTAACCAACATGGGAGGGACGTAAAAGAACCACTAAGGACGTAAAGAAACCCTGGCAGTGACCACCCTCAGTGCCTACACTTCATACTAATCATCTCTCATGCTTGTAAATTGCACAAAAAGCAATCTGTCATTAACTTCTCAATGTAAAGCGCCTTTGATTATATTAATATAGAAAGGGCGCTATATAAATTCATAAATCATCATAAATCATCATTATTATATTTTATCGTAATGTAACTTGTAATTCATGTAGTGTTTATTTACTTTGTAATTATATTTTATTTTATACAGGACTTTAAACTGGCCTGTGCTAAATTAGATGTTCCTGTTCAAATATTGAATAAAATAAAATAAAATAACAATTTCTTACAATTATTTCTAAGCATGTATTTACCTCAAGAACATGGTAGTCAAGTACTGGAAGGAAAGAGATCCAAATGATTTCCCAGATGGGGACATACCATTCGTTCTTCCTGAACAGGATAAAGCCTTCATGAGGGAGCATCTCATTGATGCTGTCATTAATGCTCCAGACTTGATAAGGTATGTTGAATGTCATACAAAATAGCACCGATGAAAGGATAATGAAAACAAAAGAAATAGATGTGTTTAGTGCTATTTAGTTTTTGTGCTATTTCACGGATATATGGTTTGCACTGTGGTGATGCTGTGCCATTTATTATCCATTCCAATAAGACACCCACCCATCCAGCCATCCATCCACCCATGCATCCTGTCCGTCTGTCCGTCCCATCCGTCCCGTCCATCCATCTCATCCCATCCCATCCCATCCATCCATCCATCCTTCCATCTGTCCATTCAGTCGCATCCATCCATCCTTCCATCCAT